TAAATTGGCGATAATGGGACGCGTGCCCGACTATTGAATGCATGGAATACCGCACGCGTATCGCTCAGAAACGCTGCTTATTAATTACGTTATGGTTTATCGCCCCGATAATTGTAGGCCTCTGTTGAGAGAGGATGGCTGCTTGCTCAGTGATTAACGTTACGGTCGACGAGAGGAAATTACACTTTTGGTCCGTTCGAATTACTCTACGTAATATTGTAATACCACGCGATCAACCGGTGCTCCGATTACTAATTTAATTTCGCGTCGCGTTATACGAGTACACGCGTGATTAAAGATTTCAAATCATTTACATTCACATATTCCTTTCATGTATTCGTACAATTTTAAATCAAAGATAATTACTGTTTCACTTTGAAATACGACAATTCTCGTATTTTTCGAACGAACAGTTGTTGCATCCGAGAAGTTTAATTTGATACAGAGTCCTCGCTATTAACTGAAAGCAACGCGCTACCTTGAGCTCGAGATGATACCTGGATAACATTGTTGCGTGCTTCGAATAATTTTCAAATTGCGCGATATTAATGCTCGTAGGACCTTGCGGATTATAATTTATCATCGCTTCAGTAAACAATCCTTTAATGCCTTAACGCGGATGTAATCGTGCACGTGTCTCACGTATTTTATTGTACGCATTGTATTTTTTATTATCTAAGTAACGAAATTTGGTGATTATATATTTACCCGGGAAGAAGTATTAAAATTCACGTGGGGTCCAGTTGAAATTGGATTGCTCCTGAGCTTCGGCAGGGGCGACGCCACCACCGTTTAATTAACAACGTGAACGACGAACTGCACGAGAACCGTTCATCCAACGCGAGTGGCACCTGTAATCAAACTGGCGGTAAAAATCGGCGCGAACCGTGGAAATAATGGACGAACACCTGAGCGGATCGGGGGCGAGGGTAGCGGGGCGAGGTACGGTTTGAAGAATCGTTTCGATGAATGATTCGCGGGTATAGACGAGCCGTAGGGGGCAGAACGCGTAGGAGAGATAACAGAAACCAGTCATGGTGGTACGTGCAGAGGCGCGGTGGGATCCCCACGTCCGATTTCTGGCCTTGTGCTCGCCGGAAACGGCTCGATTGTGTCCGGTTTCCGTGGGGCCATCCGGGAAAACGTTCGACACGCGTGCAAACGCCACCGCGGGTTCTCAAGTACCATTGCGACATCCATCGTTTTTGTCAGATTTTTATGTATAATAAACGACGTAGGGTGGCAATTCGCAGAATTGGGGAGGAAGTAATTTCGCTTTTATAAATACGTAGCGTTATAAATACAGAAATTAATTTGCAACCCGATAGTATGAATTTTCTTTGAGAGTTCTGGACCTCTTTAACACTAGATTGCCCAAGGAAGTCATTTTGACTGCTTTTGGGGCAAATGTACAAATAATAATGCATAAATTATTTTTTATCCCTAGCGAAGTAAATTTTTGTTGTTGTTAACATTTACTA